CGTAGGTGTGGTCTCAGGCATCATGCAACCGAGGAGCACGACGCAGGCAGGCAGACCATGCAGGCGTGGTCTCGGGCGTCATGCGGCCGAGTAGCACGACGCAGGCGGGCAGACCGCGCAAGCGTGGTCTCGAGCGTTATGCAGCCGAGTAGCACGACGCAGGCGGGCAGACCGCGCAGGCGTGGTCTCGGGCAGTAGGCCGCCCTAAGGGGGGCTCGGCAGTCTACGACCGAGGGATGTGGTTCGGACGGGAAGGCCGCCCTGACGGGAGCTCGATAGTCTACGGCCGAGGGATATGGCAAAGGCCGAGGGACTCGACTCAGGCGGGCAAGCCGCGCTGAGGTGGACTCGGGCAATCTATGGCCGAGGGGCATGGCTCGGGCCGAGAGACACGACTCAGGCGGGCAAGCCGCCCTGAGGTGGGCTCGGCAGTCTATGTCCGAGGGATCTGGCAAAGGCCGAAGGATGTGACTCAGGCGGGCAGGCCGCGCTGAGGTGGACTCGGGCAGTTTGAGCCGTTCGGGTGATCACCCGACATTCTGATACCCTCCTTCTAGCACCAAAATGTTGGTGTAAACAACCTGGAGCCGTGGCCTTGGGGCCGACGCGGCTCGGTTCGGGTCCGGACGATGGGGATCTCTCCGGGACGTTCCTCGAGCCCGCGGGGTCGGTCTGGTGCGATGGTCCGATCGGGACGGGGTCGTCGTTTCCTCCAGGCAGGAACTCCTCGTCCGTGCGTCTGGCGGGGACTCTCGGCTTCGCACCTGCACAAAGGTCGAGTCGGGAAGATCGACCCGACCCCTCCGACGATCAAGTTAGAGGATGTGGAGGGGGTTTCAGATGAAGAAGTGTTTTGCGTGTGTCTCCCCTCCCCTTCTCTGATGAACGAGAGGGTATTTATAGGGAAACTTACTGTTGTTTGATGTGCCCGCCTGCAGGAGGCAGGCTGATAGCGTCTGACATGGGCGTTGGCGTGGCGTGAAGAACCGAGCCTGAGTAGGCATTAATGCGCCTCGACCGATGTTCCAGTTCGATTGATCGAGTACAGTCACGTCGATCGAGGCGTGAGACATCGGCTGACGTCAGCCGAGTCTTATCATAATTACTGTCATTGTCATAGAGTCTTAAGGTAAATGACGAATAAAAGTATAAAAAAGAATACAAAAATCAAGAATTATTGGATAGGGTCTTTGTTGAGCCTAGCAAAAATCTATTAGCCATGGCAAACTGTAGTTGAAATCTTGCACGAAGGTAAAAGTTCATGGCAGCTCTCTGCACAATCTCTCCTGAGGGGTATTAAATTATTATATGTATTTTTTTCCCTTTCTAACAAAAATATCTAAATTGGACTGTTAACTCCAAATAATCATTTAGGTCTTACCACAAATGATAAACCATTCAACTACAAGTACTATCACCTCTAATTTAATATCACATTGAATCTCATCAACCTAAGTATCATTAAACTATTAAATTAATTATCCTATCCTCTCTTGTTCTTGTAACATTTCTCCACTGGCCATTGACCTTTTCCCCATGAAAACATTTAGACGGCACGATTGAGATTAATCTATCATGCAAGACCTGTTCCTCAACGATAGCGTATCCCACCACACAAGTTATCTCCATGAAGTACGTAGAGAAGACTTTGTGATCCTACCAAAACACATCCATGTTAGTTTCCATGGTATTATACAAGAGGAGTTGCCTCGCCTTTCTGTCTCCAATTTGCCATGCCATTGTTCTTCTATATATGTCCACCATGTCTGTTCTTATCCACCATCTCTGTGTGTGCGGTGAACCTTCTCACAAAGAAATGGTCGTCGGTTTCACAAGTCCTCACCAAACATGTCTTTTATGTCTACCTAAGTTGACGTGAGCAGCCTCCAACCTATCTGCTCTCTCTATCTCACCGCTATTCCTTGTACGTGAGACCAACCTTTCCTGCCTCCACTCCCTTCTTCTTGCTCTCACGCTCGCCTTGGAATCAATCATTATGAGCGATAGGAACAGCAGCAGCGGCAGCAGGCTCCGCCGGTGGCTGAAGGCGCCGGTCCGCATGCTGAGCCGCGCATGCGACTGCTACGTGCTTTGCATGACCAGCTGCGCCGACGGGGTGCAGCATGGCGGCGCGCTCGGGTACCAAAAGGCCGCGCCGCTGCCGAGGACGAGCGGCGGCGACGACGACTTGCGGGATCTCATACGGGCGAATTCGGTGTCCCGCATGGTCGAAGAACTCAAATGGGCGTTGCCGCAGCCGACGGTGACGCCGAGGAGCCAAAGCATGGCCATCGGGAGGATCGACGAGGACCGGCCTTGCGAGTTCGAGGACGACGTGAAGCTTGGCTCGGACTACCTGCTTCCGAGGAGCCGGAGTTATCCAAAGAGGAGGGTGGCAGCGTTGCGTTGATAGGTTTCACTTTGATTTGTGTTCTTCTTAGAGGAGATGGCACGTTTGCTTGGATTAATCGATGTTTCGAATCAGATTTGCTACATCTTTCAGTACATAACTTGTTGCCTTTGAGCTTAAATGCAAATGATAGATCGAGTTGTCTCGATGACTCTCTCGAAACTCTATCATCCCCACGGCCGGTATCGAACGCAGCTTCTACTACTGGGATGCTGTTACCACTCCACCGTCATTGTCACTAATTTAATTGATTTATTAATAAAATAAAATTAATTGATTTAGACATAACTTGCATTTAATAAGCTGTCACATGTCAACATCTACTCAACGATGATTAAAAAATAAAATTAATTAGTTTAAAAATAATATGCGCATAATAAGTCATCACATGTCAACATCTACTCAATCATGCAAAAGAAAAAAAAATCAAATTCATCAAGGACAAGGACCGAAGATTCATGATTAAAATTTATTAATCAAGAATAAAGGAAAATTATATTTTTTTTTAAATAAATCAGAATTATTATCTTTTTTTAAGTGAACATATTATATATTTAATTTAGTATGATTGTAATGTTTCTTTTTTCATTTGGACCCTAAAAAAGATTAAAATATTAAAATAGATCAATAAATTAAGTTCTTCTTTTGAATAAGATGTATTATAGATATATCTAATTTGAAAAAAATATAATATAGATATGATTGGATCTGATCATGGTTATTGGCCAATAAAATATATATATATTTATGGTAGAATTTCTTAAGAAATAATAGTGATTCTCCTAATTATTTTTTCTAGACTCTCTACTATCACTTATAAATAGATTGAACCTTGGACTCAACATCGATACATGACATTATTTAGAGATTACATATTTTCTCTCATATCTCCTTAGTCACATGAATTAACCATGGAGAGATTATATACCTTTTCTCATCTCGCCTTTGTCCATGGTCCATCACTTATATCAGTCCTATGAAGAATCAAGACGAGTCTAGTTCTTCTTGTAAATCGGCATTACTATAGTTTTTATAAGCAATATCGAAAAATACATATTATAAATTTGATCTATTATTATTTTATTTTAATTTCTGATATTAAAGTTTTTTTTTACATAATAGCATAATCATGGTTTCCATACTTACAATAGGTATTAGAGTCATATTTTAAAATAAAATATTTTAAATCATAAAAGTATTTTAGATCTATTTTATATTTATATCTATTTATTAACACTCTTCGCTTATGAAAATATGTTATTTGGTTTTGATTTTGTTGAGAAACTTGGGAAGACATCACATGCATAATGGAAAAACAAAACACAAAACTAATTTCCCAAAAGAATGATATAGGAATGTCGTGTGATGATTGGGAGTGAAAAACTCAATAAATCAAAAATCACGTAAGATTCGTGAGACGTTCTCACCTAGGGGAGATCGTATATCCCTGAAAATGTAGATCCAAGTCTATGGATGAAGAAAGTCAGATGTCCTCCTCTACATTGGTAATCCACATAACAGATGATGCAATGATGCACCTCCCTTTGTAGTGCACCACCTCGCAGCAATAGGCAAAGAAGGGTTGGCCCCTTCTTTTTTGTCCAGACGCACCACCAACGGACTAATGGCTAAGGAGAAGAATAGGAGGAGGTGACTAAAAAGGATCTAGCCGATGACTCTTTACTCCTTCTCTTATTTATAGAGGTTCCTATTAATTTAACCTTAATGAATCATTTCCTAGTGGGTACTAGATCTCTATCCAATTACCATAAGCCTCAGATTAATAAATCTCTATCCAATAATCATGATTTGCTCTTATTGGGTCTCACCCAAAAGATCCAATAAAATAAGGGTTTATCGGATATCTAATAAAACAAGGGATCATTAGATATCTCATATTCAATCATCTACTCGTCGCGACATCCACCATATGTGCGTGGCCCTCTAGGCCGAATGTCGAGCTGGTCATGAGTTGCACATATCAAAACTCCTTCTAACTCAGAACTCCTTCTGATTAAGTGAATTATCATCTTATGATAATTTACTCAACTCATTGACTATGAACGTACTAGACCACTACGTCATAGTCCTTAGACGGTACAAGGGAATCTAATCTATTGGATCTATCTACCTTCAGTTACTGTATATCTATATCGAGCATGGTGTTGTTAGGCCCATACGAAATCTACTCGAGTCTCGCTCTAATCGGATTCTCTCGGAAAACTTATTCTCTCTCAATTCGAATGACTTTGGCTAGAGATTTGTCTAAGCGAGAATATACGAGACATTCCTCTCATGATACCGAAAGCGGATGATCCTCTATCGATACTCAAATGCCCTCGTAAGATTGTTTACCACTTTCGATGATCGATTGTGCTAAATCTAGAATCTCCAGATATATAATATGCATGTAATAAATCGATCACATGTCAACATCTACTTAATTATGAAAAATTAAAAAAAATCAAATCCAAAATTTATTAATCAAGAATAAAGAGAAAAAATAAATTTTTAAAACAAATAAATCAGAATTATTATATTTTTTAAGATGAACATATTATATATTTAATTTAATACGATTGTCATCTCTCTTATTTTTATATTTCTTATATTGACTAAAACATTGTAATTCTTTAATAAAAAATGGATCTTCACCGTATGTGTAAGTAGTGTAAAATCATAATTATGTTTATGATTATATGATTCCATCATTCACATGCAAAAATGTGCAAGCGATTCATTCTTGAGCGTCTGGTGGTTTAGTATTCAAGAACATAACGTTCTCTGCTGCTATCGATGTGATTGTTCCCGCAGCTCAGCTTTCATGCCTTGAGAGACTCAAGATTAAGCGTGGCATATTCGTGCGGATTTATAGAGTTGTTAGAAGAATGAGAACAAGAAATAGAAAGCACACCAATTTGGAGCATTGTGGGAAACTGGCAGCTAGGAAGGAGAAGAGTGCGGACAGGATACAGAATTGGAGCTTGATGCCATTGTGATGTAGGACAAAGTGAGTGAATGAGATTTCGAAGGGATAAAGGGCAATAAGTTGGGTTAGAATGTAGCTGATGGAATTGTAGGATAGAAAATAAAAATCGATTTGAGAGGCTCTGGCAGAGATTAATAGCAATTTTTCGGTATCAAAACGCAAAATAAGTTAGAACTGCAAGTAATTACTTGGATATTAATTTCAGATTAAGTAAAAGAAATGAAGAAAGAAGAGCAGTAATAATGATAATAATAGAAGAATAAGAAATGAGGTATGATTTATCGAGTCATTGAGATGAATATGTACAATTTTCTTTATAGTTTATGACTAGTTTCCTCTGTCTAAGATTCTGGTAAAAAGGTTAGCGAATGATTTTGTGTTCAAAGTAATGGTTGGATGAGTAGAACTAAAGATTGTGTTTCTTAATTCCAAGGAAACCAGGCATGTAGATTATTATCTGCTGCTCAGATACCATTGTTGAACAGCTGTATCTGTCATTCATCTCTTGTTCTCAATTTGTAGAATTGTTCAGTCACTAAAAAAAAAAGTGATTTGAAAATAATAGGTGGAGAAGTTCTGAAAATAATAATTACCAGACAAGATCACAAAAGCTACTGTGGATCCTCATCAATGGCTTGGAGTTATACATCCAGTGAGAGCAGAGAATAAATGAGGTTGAAATAAACATGAACTTTATAAGATAGTCATCTAATGCACATATGTAGAATTATACACTGAAAGCATAGTGGCAGTTAATATTCAGAGAATGTGATGAGTTTTGCAGCTAAAATCAGCTTCAGTATACCTATGAATTCCTCACAAGTGAGAAATGCCATTTCATCAGCTGAATATATGTCACATTCAAACTTCTCCATGCAACTCAACCTAAAACAAACCTGATTTCACATCTCCAATCTTCCAAGGCAGTGTGCCACTTTTTCATTCAATCATAATTCATCCAACTAGAAGGCAGTCACTTTCTTCAAGTCCAACTACAAGTCTAAATGTTAGCTTCAATCAGACATCACATTTGTTCCCTGCTGTTCAGCATAGGGCCTTATGAAAGTTCTCCTCCACCAAACTTCAAAGGCTCTCTGGAGATTGGGGCAGTTGTCACCGACCTTCAAGAATCTCCCCAACCAAGAAAGAAGAATGCTCTGCTGGTCTTCTAAGGGGAGTGTCAAAATAGTCTGCCCAATTCCTTCCTCGACGACCGTCCGATCGAAAGATCTGCAACCATGTTGTAACCAGGTGTAGTCATCAATTAGTGGCTGTAACCAAATTTGTAACAGTAGCTGCCTGGTTTCCCTTGATGGAAGCATCTCTCCTCTTCCAATACCAACAAAAAGCCTAGAAGTGATACAGCTGACTAGGTGGCGTGACATGATCGGCAGCTTCGAGTGCAACTCTGCAAGCTCATGCTGGCTAGCCCATGTTGTCGCAAATTCATCTGCAGCATGCCTATCAATCAAAATCTCAAGTAACCAAATGAGATTGTCTGCCTCAAGAGCTATCTGCCGCATCACAGGATCTTTACTGTCTATAGAAGTATCTGAGAGACCAGGTTCGGATACTTGTCTGAACAGATGTAACAGTGATTCCATGCAAGTCCTGCAGGAACCGTAAAATAATTCAATGCGTATGTTAACAGAACCATTTGTCCCAACATTGTTTTCCTTAAGAAGCTTCAGCACCAATGCTTTCATCTCTCTCCGACCTCTGTCCTCGTTGCTTTTGAGAACTAGTTGCATTATGTGAGCAAGTGTATCATTTGGTGGGTTTGATATATCTGAAGCCACTCGCTTCAATATAGGGCTGGCACCAAAGCTCTGGAGATGTTTGACAGAGGACACCACCTTTTCTTCTTCGTCAGCAACCCAAGGGACTGCTTCCAAATAGTCCAAGCAGGACTTTATGCATTCGTGGAAGCCAAGTGATTCAGCAACCTGTGAACAATCAATTCTATTTATATGAAGAAGCAACGTCTCAATCATACTAATGGATGTTATAGAATAAGTAAGAGTACGGACATGAAAATTGCAGTAATAAAAAAATAACTAGTAGATGGAACCAATATCTATCAAATTACCATTGTTTTCTCATGGTCTGAATCCATTTTCATATCAAAATGAAGAAAAATATTATACAAATGTATGTTTTTGTCATATCTTATTCATATTCCTAACATTGCTTCTAAATCTTTTGGATATGGATGTGTATTTTGAACCAAATTCTGCATGTAACCTACAACCGGCATGTCTTGATATCCAAATATTGAATTACCTAGACTTTGGAATCACCAATGTTAGCATAAAAATTAATGTACTTTCCAAATTACAATAAGTTTATCATCTACCATTTCTTTAATTTACTTTTTTTTGTGTTTCCTATCCAAGAAATATCGTTGACAGGTTTGAGTTAGTGTTTTAATTTTGTTTGCAACTCATTGAATTCATAGGGTGAGGCTTGGTGCCATGATCAGACCTGACGATTAGGCTGTGTATATGGACTCTCCATTAGTGCTGCATTGATGAAAGTCTCAGGCATGCTGTAAGATGTTCATTGATAAACAACAATCAGAAGAAAGAGGCAAATATAGAACAAGATATCAAAATCTCCTGGTTGTCTAAATTCTAAATTTCATTCAACTGAAAATCAATTACAACAATCAAATAACAATTATATGAATTGGACAATATTTCCATTCAAGGTGCACCCTGCATCTAGCACAATTTGAGATGCCTTTGGCAACGTGACTGGCACATTTAAGATTTGTGCCTAGACCCATGGCTGATATTATCCTCTACATCATTTTGGAGAGGAGCTGAGCCCTCGTATGACACTTTTGCTTATGGAGTAAAGAATTGCAATACTCTATGAATAGGAATAAATATTCCATGTATTCTTCTGAAAGAAAAATAATACAAAAAGGCTACATGTAAAGAGACATTTAGAGCACTGTACAATCAATTGTTCTTGGATAAAAATCTTTATATCAAACTCTATTGGAAACATAATTCCTTAGCCGCAACACATCTCATAATAGGACCTAGAAAAATACCTTAAATCGATCACAGAAAAAAATAATAAGAACTAATATGAAACAACTTTTTCTAATTTTAGACTCATATTTATTTTATTAGAACCCCAATCTCTGAGGTGACCTCGCCAAATTCATCATGTCAAGTCACTGATAAAGATGAAAATAGAACTCTAGAAGCACCTAGAAATAACCACTTATAATAAATATGAAAAATAGAAAGATATATATAAGCCACATTATCTTTCCTAAACTGTATTCCACCTTACACCTGCTTCGAATCCATTTCTTTGTACAAACACATGGTTCAGTCTAGTTGGAAGATCTGAATCTGAACTCATATCTGTTGATCAGAAGTGATCCGATATGTGGCTTCGTAATATCTAATCCATTTCTACTCCAAAGTGGTAGCAAAAGTATATGTGACAAAAGACAAGTATTTGTAATGTAAAATTCACCCTGAAAATTTAACTCTTCTTAGTGGAGCAAAAATAAAAAAGAACAAACAATTGCTGCTAAAATACCCGATTTACCTTTTCTAGGCCTCTTCTATTCCCTCATCTGTCTAAATTGATTATCAGAAAATTAGATTTATATTAACAAGATAAAAAAAACATAACAATTTTTCTATGACAGACATCACACTAATTCATTGATGAAGCAGCCATTCATAAACCACCTTCACAACTTGCATGGTGATGATAAGCCACAGAATATTCTGTTTCCCTCAAAGCTGATTCAAGGGTGAACTTCGATATGGACTATCGGTCACCATGGCAGCTTAATTCAGGCTCAATTATCAAGGACCTATGTGTTATAATCAGGCTCCTTTATCCCGCTGCCTAGAGCTTAGAGTGGGTTGGATGATATTGGTCTTAATCCATTTTCAGATTGGATTGAAGCCAAATATCATTATACAACTGTTTATTCTTGTCATAACATACTTGTAGTCTTAAATTTGATAAAAAATTCTATTAAATAAAATCATATGTAAAGCTAAGATATCCCCTCTAAGAGTTCCCATCCTTCTACTTTCGGAGTGGTTCTTGTATTCTCGATCAAGCTATCGATGCATGCCATGTTTTCTTCCTGGGAAAGATTAATATAATGTAAACTTCCTATTTTGTGGCCATTTTTTCCATTGTACAACATCTCAGTTCTTGAATAGTTGTAACAGAACTGCTTCATGTATACTCTTTCTTTGCACCTTTGTTGTTGTAGCCTTACGATCAAATAAAAGGTCATCACATATTCGATCTGCTTAGGTTTCTTAATGTACATGAGCTTCAACTTAAGTCAACAGAAAGGGAGCAAGGAAGGAACCTTTTATATGTTAATGAAGGCAACCTTTATAATCACACAGTTATAATTGCATTTTCATTCATTCAGCAAGGTCATTGTGCCACATATCTAATTGTTTGCAGATATCGTTAAATGTCAATGCAGACAACAAAGGTCGGATCAAGAAAATGATACATAAAAAAAATTCTAACACCAAGCCTAAACGAACCTTGAGAATCCGTAGTACACGAGGAACACATTGCTTGATCAATCTGTGTTTCGGTTCTTTGCAGTACATCAATCCCACGGTCTCAACATAGATCTCCACATCTTCACAGTCTACTATTTCAACACATGGTACAGGAGACTGCCTGGAGAACTTATCTGCAAAGAAGCTGCTATGTTCTGCAAGAATGTTCCTATGAACACTCATCCTCACATAGATTCCTTCCTTACCAAACAAAACGACTTTCAAATCGCTGGTGTCAGGTTGACCAAAGCCCACGGATATCTTGCGTTGCGGGGTATCAGGACATGGCTTTGGTGGCCTCTCTAGCGGCCTCTCAGGTGCCTTTGTTGGACTTACGGAAGCAGCAGCATTGTCAGTTGGACATCTTTGTTCATCAGAAACAACCTTAGTCCCTGGTGAGGTTCCATGTGATCTCCTATCCACCGGGGGAGTTGCAGCTCTCTGAACGGGCAAAGTCTTTGACGGCAGTGGAGATGAAACTCTACTCTTGCTTTGGTGATTGTGATTTTTGAGGGTCTTTTGAAGAACAGCAGGAGAGGGGCAGCACCAGAACCCTTCTGGGGTTACTGCAATGGGAACATTTCGGATCTTTGTCTGTCCCTGCTCAGTCCTCCCAACTCTAAGATCTGCCATTTATGTAGTGTAAAGAACACAAAGGAGAGTTGTGGACAAGGCTGCTATTGATGCAGGGTTCAGGAGAGGGTCAATAATCTTCAGGAGAAGAAAGCATCGTCTCAAGGTGTGCATCAACTACATAACTGGTAACATCAGAAACCTGTAATTTGTTGCAGCAAGAACAGTTGTCACTCCTGCAAAAACAGCATCCTATTTAAACCTGTAATCAAAACGAAAGAAGAAAAAAAAAATCAGAATTTGATGATTCAAGTTTTGGTAAAACAAAAGTGCGTCTTTTGTTCTACACAAATTAAGAAGTACAAATATTCTTCAACCACAAAAATGTAAATGAAATTGTAGGGAGATGTCATGAAACTTAACACAACACACAAAAAGAAAAGATAGAAAGCATCAGGAAAAACAAATTAGATCTCAAAAACAGAACAAGAACCCAGAACTAGGCAATCTGATTCTAGTTCCTCTTCAAGAATGAAAGATTCGAACTTTCTGCTTTTATTTTCTTTGAGAAGGAGAAATACCCGATCTTTACAGCAACTAAGAAATAGTTCTTGAGACAAACTGAAGAAACATCAAAAAGAAAGAAAGAAAGATCGACACACATGAAGGAAAAAAGAGAAGGCCATGAAGCAACTAAAGCATTCATTGAAAACACCAAGAAATCTGATGGGTGTACTTACGCCTTGAAAGCCTCAATTTCTTCCACCAACCTCCTACATTTCTTCCCCCCCTCCCGGGCTGTTCTGGGATCCCAATGATGGAAGCGAGCTCCGGTGTCGAGCATGAACAGGGATGGGTCACTCAGATCATTTCCCTCCGATTCGAGTGCTACAAAAGATGAGATCTTTAGCTTTAGCAGATAAGAATGTCACCACTTTTTGCCTCCAATTTATTCCAACCCATCAACTCCTCTCTCTCTCTCTCTCTCTCTCTCTCTCTCTAACTTGTATATTATTCTCAGAAAAATAGGCTTGTGGTGAGAGTCTGAATTAAGAAATGGAAGAGTAGTGGAGGCTTTAGGTGGGGACTTGATGTAAACCAAGAAGATCAAGAGTTGCCTTGGAAATGTTTTGATTATTCACTGATATCCCGCTTTCAACAACAAAGAAGAGATTGGAAGCTAAAAGAGATCTAAAGTCGTTCGAAACAGGGGGAGCTGGCATTTTCGTCTCTGGTCCACAGCTTGTTGCTCGGAGTTGGGTCTGGGGACCAAATTAGCAGAGGCTGGTTTACACCCCCAACTTCGCGCTTTACTGTCCTGATTCTCGACCAGTTTAGAAGCAACCACAATAGGAAAGGCATGCACAGTTCCTGGGGCCACAAATCGCAGTTGCTGCTGCAAGAAGGGGAGTGCAAGAGAATTGGATTCTCTCATTCAATTATGTGGCTGCGTATGTTTAGTTAATTAGCAGGATGTTAGTGGCATGAGGAGGTGCAGGCACATGGGGAGAGTGATGGAGTCAGAGATGAAGATACCTTGGGGAAAGCATTCAGGATCTGCTTGGTTGGATCCTGGAGGCAGTGCTGGCTTTGGTCTCAAGGAATGCTGTGTTCATGTAGATTAAATAATGGTAATTTGTTCTCTCTCATCTTTGCTTGGACTCACTGTTTCCATTTCTTTTCTATTACCAGCTTAGATCATTAGCTGTGACTTGTACTAAATCTAAGTAGATTTCTTGTCTGAAGATACAATCCACATTAATGTTATCTAAGATCTAACCAAGTTACTGTACTAAAATAAAAAATACCTGCTCCTCTAGATCATAGCTGTTTAATTAGTAGTGTGACAATGGATGTAGAAGTAAGTATATTATAATGCCTTCTTCAATAGCTCATTTAGATGATTTCAGACACAAAACAAGCTGCTTCTCTTGATTGCATAATTAGACTGTTAAGACTCATTTTATAGTACTCTGGCTATATGGGGGGTGGACTGCCATGACTGGAAAAGAGAAAGCAAAAGCACAAAAGAGAGGCAAACTGTTGTCAAATGATACCAAAAAGTGTCCTCTCCTTCAGCTTTGCTATTGCATTGTTTTGGAGCTTAGCTATCATGTTGTGGACCATATCTCTGTGACAATGGATCTGTGAAATGATTCTTCCAAAGAAAATTGAAGAGGGAAAAGATAAAGGGAGTTTGGTTCATATAGATCAAAGACCAAGTTCTTTATGAGTCAGTCATGATCCGAGAGGAAGCACGAGGACAGAAGCTCGTCCCTGGTTGGAATATTATGAGCCCACATTTTTGTATGCAGAAACAACAGCTCGGTTGATGAAGCGAATTCTCTGTTGCATGATTCATTGTTTCTATTGAATGGAAAGAAGATGAAATCCTATATGAGTCGGAGACAAAGAACTCATATGTGTTCACTGCGCTCCACCTACCTCTTCAGGTTCATCCTTCTCCGTCAGATGGACTGCTACTGTGGGATAGTCTTGTCAGCTTGCAGGCAGCATTCAAGTTTTGGAGCTTTTCCTCTGCTGCTGGTTTATCCCTTGCAAAGATGGAGGATGAGGTTTGGCTGGAAGCATGTGAAGAGCTCAAACCTCTCCTTTTAGACAAGTCTTTCATCAAACTGAAGAAAAGAAAGATTTTAGCCCAAGATGAATTATTGGAAAAATAGAAACAGAGAAGACAAAACATATGAATTATTGTAGTGACTACTTACTATAAGCTATCCAATACATATATCATCACCAAGATGGTGGACCAACCTATTTATTACCCACACCATACCTTGCCATGTTCCAAGACTTGAAAACTATGGTCTCTAGAGATCAAGACATATCAACAGCCTCTACACATGAAAAAGTGAACTTAAAGGTGTTGTGTCCATAGTCCTTTTTTTAGCTCCTTCTTTTTGCCAAGTAATTAACTTTAGGTTAATCACTCAAAACATTTCTTACTAGTTCACAAATTTGGCCTAATTTATGTCCAACCCAGTCAGCTTGTATACTTGTTGTTTGGTGGGTAAAGAGTGTCCCAGTCATATGGGCTTGACACAAGTGACAAAGAGTATTCCATTCCACCTCAACTTCATCTTGTTTGCAAGATAAACCTTAAGCTCACCAATCAACTTCATCTTCTCTTGTGCAGTTTCTGCAAAGATACAGAAAGCTCAGTTCTTACAGATAAGGCTGCCTGTGTTGACTTGAGACAGGCTTGTCTTCTTGATTGAGCTTGGAATGCATGTGGCTTTGGCTTCAGTGAAGCTTGTGAGACATGGCACATTTCCATTTTGGCTCGACCCATGTGGAGCTATTGTAATGTCCACAGATCGCCAGCTTTGTTTTGATGTTTCATGTACCACAACCTAAGCTGTGTTGTGTAGCCATCTTTTATCAATGAATAGATATGGCTATGTAAATTGAAAGCTTTTTACTACAGTGTTTGGTTGATGAGCCACCTTATTGTGCTTTGGTTGTGGTATTACTTCTCCTTGGATAAGATGTGGTTAAGGCTTTTATCATCAATTTTTCTAGAGATTCACTCAAGGGAAAACTATTTTCTCTCTCTCTCTCTCTCTCTCTCTCTCTCTCTCTCTCTCTCTATCTATCTATCTATGTGGCATGGAAAAGGTTCTCACTTGAAAAGAATTCTTTTCCAATGTTTGTTTGTAGGGAAACAAAAAATCTTAGAGTATATTTTGTACTTTTACCATAAGTTAGCTTTTTTGTTCTCACAAAAAAAAAGAAAAAACTCAAAATTGTTGTTTCTCGACGTATCTTCCTCTTTTTCCTATTTTTCTACATATCGAGCACAAGAAAAGGAAAAGAACAGAAAATATTTTACCTTTTTCTACACTCTAAATAACTTTTTGTTTATGTATTATGTAAAACAATTCAGTGGAAATTTTATTATTATTTTCCCTTCATTTTTCCTTGCAATCTAATTACCATCTTGCATTAGGTATGTGTCTTTGTCTATAGTCATATGAAAGATCAACACCTACTCTGGGAAAATTTTATTACAAATATCATATGTATTATTTTCTTTTCCATAATTACATTTATAATAAGGAATTTATCTATAAAAAATTATTCTGAGATAGAGAGAACAAGTGATTTTTTTCTTCGATCCTCGTTAAATTTTATGTTTGATTCTCGTTTGTTCTAACATGAATCAATCGGATCGATCCAATTCGCCGTCATATTTTTTTCTTATTTTTTTATTTGTGAAATATATATATTTGGCAACATTTCCAGTCTCCTCGTACCATTGAAATGTTGGTAGGAGATGCCGGTAAGATGTGTAAAGTTTGACCACCTTTGACAGAAACCCGAAGACACGCTTAAAGCCATAAAGCATCAGCAGAAAAGAAAAAGGGGTGAGCAAAAAAGATCACAAGGTAACCATTTCTCAGCTTCAGGCTCAGCAGATTTAGATGGCACAGCAGCCAATGCTAGCCATGTTCTTATTCCTTTCTTTGATGGCTGATTTCCAAGTTAATATATATTCCTCACATCATCTTTAAAATTTGAGAGAATTCTGCATAATACAATTTGTTTTCTGAACTGTAAATCTAATTCTGCTGCATTGTATTTTCATAGTCAGTTCGAGCAACAAAGAATGCACTGCAACTTCATGTAACTTCTCATCAGGCCGACTGAAGAAGGTAGAAAGCAGTGCTCTAACTGAAAGCAATTCTGCATTTGACATATTGTCAGTGGTGTCTTTTGTGCTTTACGAAATCTTAACACTGGGAATTGGGCATGCATGCCTTTGCTTTATGATTTAGCTCCTGTTTTTGGCGTAAAGGCGATGGAAACATGGCTTTTGCCGGATGTCTTCTTCTTTCCCTGCGCAATTCTAAAGGCTTGTGCTTCCTTTAGCTAGACTCGAATCCAGAACGAGTCCCTTGGAGAGAGAAACAAAGGCTTTTGTCACGCACTTGGGAGAGGCCATTCACCCTGATTCCCGCTGTGTGTGTGTGTGTTGTGCAGGTGGTGTTTGTTCCAGTATTTTATGCTGTTTTCTCTCTCTTTCCTTTTGATCTTTAGTTAAAGTCTGGCTTAAGTCGCGCGTGTTGATTCGCCTTTTAAAAGCAGAAGGTTCTTTGAAGTTTCAGAATTATTATCTCTTTCATTTCTGTGGAATAAGAAAATTTCTTTGCATTTTTCATCAACATATTATCTGGAGATTAAATACTTAATATCATAGTAATCTCCTTTGTCAGGAGAGTAGTATTATGGATCAGGAGATAATATCATAGTTTCTGAGCTATGTCAGCTCACTCCAAACTATTTGTGTTGATTTTTCAGAAAGAGAAAAGAAATATAAAAGATTGAACTCTTTCTTTTGTGCTTTGGAGAAAGAGGATTTGAGATTCTGTTGTCTTTTGACCTGCCAGGAGAAAGCCAAGCAGAGGTTGGAGATCATTGTCTAAGTAAAACTGGCAGCATCACTTTGGATCTGACTCTTAAAGAACTCAACTACAGAGAGTTGCATGAGGGAAAACCAATGCTGTTCTACTCTTTCCATGTGTCTTGAACATGAAAGATAAGTAACTATCAGAAGCAGGTGTAGAGCTTGAATCCATGAAAACAAGTCTTGAATACAGTTTCCTGGCCTTGAATTTATCTTAGAGTGGAAATTTTAGGCCATTATTCATCTAAATTACAGCATTGTTTACTGAATAATTGCTATGCCAAAGCACTAATTATGCAGAGATGAATCTAATCATACCAACAGATGCAATCTGAATTTAGCCTAAATATTTGCATTACACTGGGAGGAAGAAGTTACATACATTTATGATACTTTACATTGTCCATCTTTTGAAACATTAACCTGCAATGTGAGTTTGGTTTGGTCCCATGATTGCAATGTCTCTTCATGCTTTTGGCTTACCCAGAATACTGCATATGTACATGCAAAGATTCAAAGATACAAAGATACAAACTCAAGTGGTGGCATGCAGGAGGCTCCTTTGTTGCTTCTTTGCTCACTCTCAACACTACTTGCATAAAGGATAAGCTTTATGATGAGGTCAATAAAAGGAAAAGAGGTTGTGGTTTGCTTACCCCTTTCCCCACATCTTCTCTTCCATGTGTACTGCAAAAGGCCATTGCATGTAAGAACAACCGATTCCTCGACAAGCGTTAAAAAGCTTGGGGCTGAGGACAAAACAGGCATCTTCATCTTCTCCAGGGTTAAACCAGCTAGCGTTTGTCATTGTTTATGGTGGTAACTATGTGGGCATGGACTTCAGGGGCCACCATTTCATCATTCCTCTCGCATCTTGGAAACGAAGTGAAAAGGTTTAGCCATCTTTTGGTCGTGTGTGGTCTGTAAACTACCCTCAAGCAACTGGAATTCTACAGTCTTGTTGGTTGGGAGGTCTTGTTGCTGCTGCTTTGCAAAATGGGAAAGAATGAGGCTGTGGATGAGAAGAGATATGATATCTCAGCTCTGAAACCCCATTTGACTGTCCACTGTTCCAACCAGCACGGGATCTTTCTCTTCCCCACAGGTCATTGGATGGTGATCCGAGTTAATCTTCCCGTGAACAGTGTTGCTTATGCCCACATTTTGTTTCTCTGTCACACAGTGGGTCCTGCCAGTTGAGTGCTGTCTTCCCTTTACATCCGCACCGAAAAGGTTTGGGTGACACTCTCAGTGGCTGCTAATTGACGCCTACATCTGCAAATGGAATTTGAGGAAAGGCGTGTGATCCGAGTTCAGGGTGTGAAATGCCACACTCACAGGTCTTCTTCGACGCACAAGCGATCCAAGAGGTAGCTGATCTCTTCTTCTACACTATCACTCAGCTGTCGAGCTGCTGATTCTTGATGTTTGATGCAAAGTGTTTTACATTTGTACCTCTGGTTTATCATGGCAGTGATTCCGACAACACAGGCAGGGAAGATAAATTCGGTTCATCACCTAAACAACTTTGTTCTAAGCTGGTAAATCTCATTTTGATCATTTCAGAGTCTTGCAATTTGCTGAACTTTTGTGTTCTTGACATGGTTGTGTAGTTCTGTAGTCGTTCTTTTCTCAGATCCATTTATGCTAGATTTGTTATGGTTGCAAGGATATGGGAAAGACTAAGGACTACATTGGAATCAAGAAGAGATCATTACCGGACGCTGAGGTCCAACACTCATTGAAGCAAGAGGTATGTGAAGTGGCAGTGGTTTGATAGCCTCCTCCATTGACACTCGGCAGCTGAATCATGTTCTCCTTAGCTTCTTCGTTTGGTATATTCTTACTGTGTTGGCGTTCAGCAGATTCTGCAGCTTGAGAAGCGGCTGTTGGGTCAATTCAAAACGCGATGTGCACTAGAAAAAGCATTGGGATGTAGCTCATCTGCAGTTCTCTGTTCCAATGATACTTGGATGCCAAAGGTGGCTCTCTTCTCCTCTCACTGTTATCTTGAACTGTTGTTTCTTGATGGATGTGGCGTTTGGTTTCAGACTCCCATTTTGATTTTGATCAATGATTCAGAGAGAGATCACTGGAGTAGCATCTACTCTTACAGTGTTGCGCAGTGATTTCTGATTGCACTTCATTGTCAGTTCATTCTTTGTATTTTGTGCATTCTGGCAGATGCATATCTCTCATTCTGTGATGTTCAATTTGCTGAAACTGTAATGTGATAGCAGACTACCAAAGAGCTGATAAGGGAGATTGCATTGTTGGAGTTGGAGGTCATGTACCTGGAGCAGTATCTACTGTCACTCTATCGAAAAGCTTTCAGCCACCAAATTGCTCCGTTGTCTGCTGATAGTGCACACAAAGAGACGATGCCACAGAGTTCCCAGTCGGAGATGTTTCAAGATGATGACGATTCAACACAGGAAGCCTCATCTGAGAAAGAAGGGCCAGGAGCTCAGTTTCATCAGATACGTGAAGCCTATGAATCCATCTGCAAGGAGAAGAATGCTGGTGCAGACGTTCGACTCGGTCATTCCTCGGTCTCGCAACGAGCAACTCGTTCCGCGAGAATATCACCTACGGAAGAGAGCATTGCGAGAGCTCTTCGCTCCAGCCATTCTCAACCCCTGGCATTTCCCAAGGCAAGAACACATCTACGTTGCAAGCTCTGTTCATCACTGGATCAAGGAGTTCTTTTTCCTTCAGCTTATGAATCGAATTGTGTTGTTGGGCAGGAAGAGAAGAATCATGCTTCGAGTGTGATCAGCCTAGCGGACTATCTCGGTGCTAATATAGCTGATCATGTCCCGGAAACCCCCAATAAGCTCTCAGAAGACATGGTGAGATGCATGTGTGCCATATATTGCAGACTTGCAGAGCCTCCTTTGGTTTGCCATGGCCCTCCATCGTCTCCTGTTTCATCCCTCTCATCAATCACTGAGCTTTCTGTTCTTGACACTCCCATCCATAGAAGAGAACCTCTTCTTGACTACTCTCGCTTGATTCATCCTTTCCAAGTCGAAGGACTAAGAGAATTCAGCGGACCGTATGCTTCCATGGTTGAGGTTCCTTCGATCAGCAGGGACCCTCAGAGGGTGAAAGATGTGGAAGACATGCTACAAAACTACAAGTAGGTGATGTTGCCAGTTGATAATTGTTTCGATCAAAAGCATGTTCCTTTAGATTAATTCTGATCACTACGATTCTGAAATTTGCAGGTCAATTCTTCAGCGACTGCGAAAGGTCAATCCAAGGAAGATGAAGCACGAGGAGAAGCTTGCGTTTTGGATAAACATACATAATGCCTTGATGATGCATGTAAACACAATACTTTGGCACATCTATGTTAAGCTTATGATTGATCTGAGTCACCTGAAAGTGATGTCTACGCTGTTTGCACAGGCATATGTAGAATATGGGATTCCACAGAACAATGTGAAGAAGACATCACTGCTCATCAAGGTAAACATAGTGATATTGATCATGTCAAAACTAGTTCAATTCTCTGAGAATAACCTGCATTTTATTTCTTTGATGTAGGCAAGCTGTAACATCGGTGGTGGCTCAGTAAATGCAGCCATCATACAGGGTTCTATTCTTTCTTGCCGCACACAATGCCCTGCTCAGGTAGTTCTTCTAAGTTTCATTTTAGATGAACATTATTTCTGCAATGTTGTTCAAATGCCGACAGAAATGGAATGTTTTATGACATATAATCTTGATTTTACGTTGAAAAATCATTCAAAAGAAGTGTAGACTTTGTTCAGAAAACTTTATTTTGCTGAGTTCCTATTCAAAAATTGTGGACTTTATTCAGAGTAAATCCATAGTCACTCTGAGGAAGTTCTTAGAAGTGACTTTAGCATTGCAATAGGAGTATGAAGAGTTCTCCTGATCAAAACTTCGGATACATGTACATGCAGTGGCTTCAATCGTTGCTGTTCCCAAGGTTAAGAAACAAGGCCGGAGATCGCTGGCAAGGATACACCATCGATCAACAAGAACCTCTTCTTCATTTTGCACTTTGCTCAGGAAACCATTCTGATCCTGCGGTAAACTTCATCATGATCCATCAGAGCTTGTTTACTGTAATTTAAGCCACCATTTTCCGCTTCTCTTTTGTGAACGTTTAAGCTTTCACCTCCATGATCATGAGTTCTAAGAAATCCAAATAAAAGATAAAAACATATGCATTAATCTTCCTAACAGATGCTGTTCTTTAGGTCCGCGTGTACACCCCCAAGAGACTGTATCAGCAGCTGGAAGCTGCAAAAGAGGAGTTCATTCGTGCCACCGTGAGGATTCGGAAGGAACACAAGATCGTCATGCCCAAGGTTGTGGACTTGTACGCCAAGGACATGAAGCTAAGCTCACAGGCACTACTTGACATGGTTCACCATCATCTTTGTGAGACACTCAGGAAATCCATGCAAGGGTTCCCACAAGCCAGGTCAGGAAAGATCATTGAGTGGGAGCCTCATAACTTTAGTTTCAGATTTCTTCTGTCAAAAGAACTTGCATTTGCTTAATTAGGACGTGAAGAGAGGTGATTTGGTTCATTTTTGTTTTCCCTTCTTTGTTCAAGGCCATTATTTACTGTGTATAGAGGCAAGATGTCGTGTTGTATATCCTCTACAGAATTCAATTCAACCTGGTGGAAATTTGGTTATGTAATATGAAGCCATCTTGCTAGCTTCAGTCTGCATGCATTTTTTTTTTTCTTTCTTTTTTCTTTATGAGTCATAAAATCATTATTATTTTTCTTAAAATACCTATCTACCCTTTCAGCTGTTTATGTATGATTTATAAAATGACTACCGCGAAAACATATATAATTACGAATATATATATATATATATGATTTTGACATTATAGAATTTTATAATTAAGACACGCCCAGAATTGGTGACCCACAACTTTCCCGTCCTATCTGACCTCGCGGGCCTCTCACGGTGACTTCAGCTTTTACGCGGGGCCCACAGAGATAGCTAGATAGGAGGAGAACGTTCATGGGAGTAGAACGTGGGGAACCGAAACATTACCTTAATAGAGAGTGGTATCGTCACCTTGCTGCATATGCCACACGTGCTTAGCGAAGGCACGCCCGAGGACCGGAGAGATCAGTTTGTCATGGCGCCCGCACCGCCGCACACGTGCAAAGACGGCGCCGACCGCGCGTGCCGTGGCGTGCTCCGTGCCGCCTCCGGCAGCCGCTCCCACTAACCCACCCGCCATATCTTCACCGAATTGTCCAAGCTCCCGCTGTACACCACGTACCGTCGCCTATCACCCCGGTCCTCCTCCGCATCCGCCTCCACAGCCACGCACTTGATGGGCGCCGCGTGGCCGACGAGGGTGGCTACGACCACGTGAGCACCGCCTCCCTCCTCCCTCCGCCACACTCGGATGGTCCTGTCCGCCGATCCGCTAGCCAGAATGGTCCCAGCGGCGGCGAGACACAACACCGCCATCCCGTGGCCGCGCAGCGCCCCGCCTCGCGCGAGTGGCCCTCCGCCCCCCTCCCGCTGCCAGTAGAGCACCACCCCGTCCGACGACCCGCAGTACACGGTCCCCACCGCTGCCACCACCGCCAAGGCGGTCACTGCACCCTCCTGTTGGAGCAGCGTCTGAGCAGAGACGTGCCTGGTGGCGCCACCGATGCCGTCTTTTACCCCCGCGGCTACCTCCCGCCGCCATGCCTTCACCGTCCCATCCGCCGACCCTGTGAACACCAAGCCGTCGAACCCGGTGGCCACTGCGTTGACGGCGTCATCGTGCGCGTTGAAGGATTCGAGGCATTTGCAGTCCGATATCCGCCACACCTTGACGGTCTTGTCCCAGGAGCCGGAGTAGAGCACCCCGGCGTCCTCGTCGAGGCTGAGGCACGAGATGGTGTCTAAATGGCGGAGCCAAAGGGAGCTGTGGTGCCGCCTCTGTTCCACGTATCTGGACGGGTTCATGGAGCTCCTAAGAAAGTCCCCAAGAGTAGGGAGAGTCATGACTCGCTTATGGACCGAGGGATCCTTCGAGGAGCTCCTCCAGACCCGGATCTTGCCGTCTTGGTGGCTAGTGAAGATTCTGTCCCCAGCGACGACTATGGCCTTGACGAAGCCGCTGCTGGACCTGAAGCTAGATAATTCTTGCCGACCTTTCCAAACCCGGATGTTCCGGGTCTCCGATCCGGTATAGAGGAGGCCCCCGGCGGCGGCGAGGGAGTAGACGTGGCCCTCCCGGCGGACGAGGGAGCCCACAAGACCAGTGACGTGGGGATCGGCGCGAAGCTGCTTCGTCCATGGGGACCCGACTAACGGGGAGGCGGCCGCAGGGTTCCACAGAGAGATATTGTAAGACGATGTCCAGGGTCTCGTTACGTAGCAGGCGGCGGCGTCACTTCCGACCCAGCGGAGCTCTTCCTCCGACGGGACAATGGCGTCGGAGTGTAGGAGGTGGAGGAGTTTGGTGGAGAACGACGGGATACAAGTAGCTTCCTTTCGAGCCCCCATGGATTGGATGATGCAGATTTAGAGCAACTTGTTTGACGCAAACAGAACCGAAAGGTGGCAAAGCGAAGACGCTGAAGCAGCAGCAGAGACGAAAGAGGTCTCCGAGACATGTGGTCGAATCAATTGGGTTGGCGTAAATTATATGAAGGCCAAAGTATCAAGCCACGTGTACGGAAAGTAAATTGAGGGCCGGAAGGCGTGGGAAGTGAACACGTAAGAGAAGAGGATGTTGACTTGTGGACATGGGTCGACTGTTGCGGCACAAGAGCCATTCCCATTAGCCGGTTCTACAACAGTTTCTTATACCTATCTTGCTTGACTTAGTTCGTGATCAACAATATATATATATATATATATATATATATATACTTCTACTAAATAAA